TAGCTGCCTCTAAACCCATCATGACCCTAAGCCCACCAACACCCTGGGCATCCCCCCACCCCCACTCTTTCCTTGGCAGCAGCTTTACTCGTTCGTGGTTCGTCTCCCCCCCCCCCGCCCACTCCCCCCCCAATACACACTGCTACCTCCCTCCTTCCCTCTTGCCCTGGCAGCAGCTTCACTCGTGTGTGGTTCGTCTTTCCCTCCTCCCCTCCTCCCCCCCCGCCTTCAGGATGACCGCGTGGACTGTCCCCGCACCCCCACCTACCCCTTCACCGCCGTGGGGCAGATCAACATCCGGGACTACCGGGGCAACTACGTGTGCAGCGGCGCCCTGGTGGGGCCGGACGTGGTGCTGACTGCGGGGCACTGCGTGTTTAGCCGGGTAGCGGAGGTGAGGGGGTGGGGGACACGGGATGGGAGGTGGCGGGGTGGTGGGGTGGTAGTGGGAGGATGGGTGGGGGGCGGGTGAGTCGGTGTGGAGGAGGGGAAGGAGGAGTGGGGGCCGCCTACGAGGGTGGTAGGTGTGACGCTGGGTGTTACGGTTAGCTGTACGACAAGCAGGCTGGTACGTAGGTACGACTGGTACGAGGTACCCGGAGAACGTGGTGCACGTTATGGGTAGACCATGGGTTTACATCCATTCCCTTCCCCCCGGTCGTCCCGCATGCTGCCATTTTGGCCCCCTTTCTCCAACGCTGCCCATTAAAGTGGAGATTATCTCACCCGCTCCGAAATCGCAGACTGGACTTCTCTAGGAAGTGACGGAAAAGGACTTGTTGGTACTCACCACCAAAGTAAACAATCTGTCCGCCTCACGCCACCCGCGGGCCCTCCCTCCCCCAACCCCCCTCCCTCCCTCCCTCCCCCCCCCAAACCCTCCCCTCCCCCTAAATCCCTTCAGGCGTTTTACGAGAGGCTAGATTCTCCCCCGCCCGCTACCGCACCCTGGATGGGCAGGTGGTGAACCCNCTTTGGCACCATCCCCTGGAGGGATGTAACCCTGTACGAGGGCTACTCCTCCAAGTCGGTTCCCGACGCCAACATGTGAGTGAGGGGCTCCCTCCCCACGGGGGCCGCCCGGGGGGGGTCCGCGGTGGGTTGCGGTGCACGGGGGGCCTTCACGACGGCCTGGTAAAGAAGGGGGGGGGGGGTCAGGAGAGGACGAGTGGGGTTTGGGTGGGGGGTGGTTTGGGGGGGAGGGGAGGGGATCATCATGTAGGAAGATGAAAGAAGGGAGAATTTTTCTTGAAGCGTCCAGAACCCAATAGCTTTGAGGCCCGGGGCAGCTCACCCAAACCCCCTCCTTACCCTCCACACCGGCCCCACCACACACACACACGCGCGCATGCACGCACACATACATACACGTACATACATACATCGCAGCTCAGAGAAGATTCAAAAAACACACCAACCCCTCGAAACCCCTCGCAAAAAACTTGCTAACGACCACCGCCCCCCTTCCCTCTCCCCCCCTTCGGCAGAGTGGATCTGGCCGTCATCGGTCTCTCGGAGCGCATCGGCCTCCGAGCTGGCTGGATGGGGGTCTTCGAGCCCTGCAGCCCCTACGCGCCCAACCGCTACGTGGCCCTGACCGCGGGCTACCCCTCCGACAAGCCGTCGGGCTCTTGCAAGACAACCCAGTGTGTGGTGGTTCAGGAGCCCTGCACGGACGGCTACCTCTACCACAAGTGCGACACGGCGGCCGGACAGAGCGGGTCACCCATGTACATGATGGCCATGACCGCGGGCCGCAAGATGGGGCCGTACATCCGCGGCGTGCACAACCTTGAGTGGGTGCGGACAGATGATGACGGCAAATCGTACAGCTACATCAACAGCGCCGTGAGCATCACACCCGACCACTATCGGTCCGTATTGGTGAGAGAGTCGGAAGGGAAGGGAAGGGGAGGGAGTGAAGATAGCGGACAGGGAGACGGGGGAGAGGTAGGGAACAGACTTCTGGGTAGGGAACAGGATTCTGGGCAGTTGACAGTTGACAGTTGGCGATTGCATCTTGGACTGCGTTCTTCTTTTCCCATCTTGGACTGCGTCCCTCTCCCCCAACTGCCCTCACACCAACTCGCGACCCTTTCCCGCCCGTGCTGCCGCCCTCCCCTTCCCTTCCTACTCCCGGCTACACGGCTTGGGTCCTGACCCGACACACGTACATAGGCGTGGATAGGGCTGTCCTTCACCACCAATGACACGGCGCCCATGGGCCCTGCGCTGCCCCCCACCGACTACATGACGGGCATTACCGGGTCCTAGCGCAGAAGGGCCCCCCCGGGGGGTGAGGGGTGGGGCGCTAGGGACCGATGTTGTGTCAGTCGCGCACCTCCCTCCTCCTCCTCCTCCTCCTGGTGGTGGTGGTGGTGGTGGTGTGAAGTGGAAAGCTCTGGGTGCGGCAGGGCGGCAAGGAAGTATGCGGGGAGTAGGGGAGGATGGTGTAGTGGTGGGTGTAGTGGTGGGGGCGGTGTTGTTGATTGCTTGGTAGTTAGGTAGGTAGTTGGGTGCCGGAGAAGGGGCGGGCAGGGAGCGCTTCCTGACCTCCCGAGGGGGGGGAGGGAAACAGGGCAGCGGGGTAGACCCTGGCATCGGATAGACAGACAGGTCGATAGACGGACATGAGAGGCAGACTGACTGATACAGACAGACAGACAGGTAAGAGACAGGTAAGGGACAGACAGACAGACAGACAGACAGACAGACAGATGGACAGTGACAGAATCCAGTACGCACATGGAATGATGGAGGGCAGGCGCGCGGATCGAGGCCACTACCCCCTACTAAACGAAACGAAACGAATAAGATTTTCTTTCAATCGAAAGGGTGTTCCCTGCCTTGACGACCGCACGATGCTTTAACAAGGGTTATTTTATTCGTGAACTGGCCCTCCAGAACAACAACATCGATCAACCGGATATATATCCACCAACAGGAAAACCCGGGAAACGCGTGTCCGCATGTGTGAACTATATTACATGTATATGGGGTTTGACACTGCCTTGATCTAAGTTTCCTCCTTATTGATCCCAGTTTCCTTATTTTTCCAGTTATTAGTGAGAAATGTATTGTGAGAGGTTGCGCGTTTGTTAATCTTCATAGTTTTCTACAATTTGTTAATGTTCCATGTGACATGTGAGCCGCGCGTGCCCTTATCGTGCTTTGATGTAAGGTGGCGATCTGTGTGCCCAGCGGGCTGCTCTTAAAAAGAACGGGACGACTGCTACAAGTGATGGTTATGGTGTACAAGGCCGTACGGACATTAAAAGCAGTATGCTTGCAGTGAAGACGTAGGTGTGCTAGTGTGTGTATGTGTATATATGTGCGTATGCATGTACATGTGTTGATGTCGGTGGTTTGCTTCGGCTGTTGGTGCACACACCAGCGCGGCAGGTAATAAAAATAATAAAATGTACGGTATGGGCGCATGGGACGAAAACCGATAGGTTTAGGGCCGTACCGTACCCTGCACTCGTTACATCGCCCCCGGTCTTGAAATCATCATCAATCATGATGTAAGTGTACGGAAGACCGCGCTCCAGACAACCTGTGTAAGACTCTCTACAAGGCTTCACTTCAGTTTTGTTTCGGCGTCCACTGCATTCCTGTATGCGTTGCTTTGTCGTTGCTCGGAACGGGACATTACTCCGCCCCTCTTCCGTCCGCGGGAGAGAGCTTAGGAGGTCATTCCGATGCGGCAGGCCAGCAGGCAATGGCTAGAACGGGACATCACTCCGCCCCTCACTCCGGCGATGATGATAACTATTGAGGTGACTGATGATCATGTTCTGACATGATGACGAGAGAGAGGCAAGGAGGAAGGGCAGCTTATTGCGAAGAAGCTGACAGTTCTCGTTACAGCTCGGATGTGTGCCGTGAAGCAGCAGCCGTACGGTGACGCCGAACCGCAGCTGCACATCCGGTCTGTTAGAGCACCTGCTCACCCGTGGCGTTTTCCTACTGCCGTTGCCTAGGTGCTCCTGACGCGAGTCGTGCCCCCCCTCCGCCGGGACGTGGCCTCCAGATGCCGCAACGAACCCCCCCTTCCCCCCCCCGCGGGGGGTTGCACCGCGGTTGGGTTCCAGGGTTGCGCCGCCTCTCTCTCCTGCTGCACAGGCGGCCGGTATTACTGCGCTCGCCCATCCTGCACGGCAAGCCACCTCCTCGCCGCCGCCTTCTTACTCTTGGCGCCAGCCAGCATGGCCGCGGCGCCGCACACGCCGGGCTATAAATACTGGTGGCAACACGCATACCCGCAGCTATAGCTGCATGCAGCGTTCACGGCGGATGGCAGTCACGGCACAAACACCCATATCAGCTATTGTGCCTCCATCCCCTACCTCTCGCTTTGGGGCACAAGTTCAGCTGGACGACCCTCACTTATGCCAAATCTTCGTTAGCCTGTGAAAAGGCGATGTTGTCAACTCTGACCTACATGCCAGACCTTCTTGAAGAGCGCCACCACCCTCCGTGGCAGGCAGCGACGTCCACTCTCATGGTCGGCTTACTCATGGTGTGTGCCGTCTGCGAGGTCTGCAGCTTCCTCTCCCGGAACGAGCAGCAACACTGGGCAACCGTGACACCCCCAGACAATGCTGCGGGTGTCCCACCCCCCACCCACACCTCACACACACACACACACCTTCGGATTGATTTTTGTCTCCAAAATCACATTAAGCCATAAGCCTACATTCGCGTATATGTATTACATTTTCCCCATGTATTTTCTCCAACCATCCATTCATGTATTCAAACGCTGACTCTTTTGCTCGTTCATGCACGTGCACGTGTTTAGGAGCTGGCAAAGGAAGGCCCCTCAACGTCGCCTCCTGCCCCAAACCGCTGCTTGTGTCAATCAATTGTGCGGAAGCCCGGGGTGTTTAGATGCGTCCGGCGTTAACCACACATCGTGTAGTTTGCTGCTGGGACAAACCAGCTGGGGCAGACCCAGCGATTGAAACGCTGTCGCAGTTTCTCCATAGTCCTCCATATGACCCACATGACTAAAGGCAAAGGACATGGTACAAGTCGTCTATGTACGTACCTGAGAGGCGCATTAATGTGGGAGGGAGGGCCCTGACGTGGTCAAAATATCTAAATATCTACGTAGAAGCCAGGAGGAGTGCTGCAATTACTTCCAAATGGCGCTGTTGTTGCTGTTGTTGTTTGTGGTGGTGGTGGTGATACTGGTGCTGTAAGGCTTGGGGCGGTTAATCTGAATCGATCGGTCCCTGCTTACAAGCACACCGCCACCGCCGCTGCTCTCTTGCCTTATGACCCGTGGGTCAGTTACCGTGATGGGCTCCAACCACCTTGAGGAAGAACAGACAGCAGAGAAACGCATCAGGCCCCCGCCCCGCCCGCACCCCCGGGCCACCAAACGACCACTGAAGAGGCGGCCGATCAACACCCCCTCCGCTATCGCCCCACCGGTGACTCGCCCCCGCCAACGATTCCGCCACTGCCGACCACAGCAGCTACGGGCGTCGGTGCACTGAACACCGCGATGTCCAAATCCCCTAAAACCGCTGTTAGCGACGCAGCTGACGCAGCCGATGATATTGCCGGTGCCGCAAGCTTGCACGCCTTTATCGTACTGTCGTACTGCGTGCCGGAGGGCACGCTGTTGAAATCGGGTTTGATGCCGTACCGATCAATGTCCGTACCGCGGGGCGTCAGGTATTTGCCCACTGTGATCACGAGCCCTGACCCGTCGCTCAGCTCGTACACGCTTTGGATCAAACCCTTGCCGTACGTACGGCTCCCGGCGAGTACAGCACGGCAGTTGTCGTGCAGCGCACCCGCCACTATCTCCGACGCGGATGCTGTGTGACCGTTGACCAGCACCAGCAGGGGCGCGGAGGTGAGTGCGGGACCGGGGGCGCGGGGCGTGTCGGGCGCCGCATCCCGGCGCTCCGTAATGACGATGGGTGCATCGCCTGGAAGAGGGCGGGGAAAGGGGGACCCCAGACGGCCCCGAAAAGGCCGGGCACACACACCCCCACACACACCGAGCAAGGCGGCAAAGAGGGGAACAAGTCGCAGACGGGTTAGGAAAGGAAGAGGGCGGAGCCGGTAGTGGTTCGACAATTAAATAGTTGGGTACGTGGCTAGGTTTGGATACCCCCCCCCAGCAATTATCCGCGCCTTCCCCCTGCGTGAGGGAAGCCACATCCCAACATCTCTCCCCCCTCTCCCCCCCCTCCCCCTCGCACCCACCTCCCAAGAACAGCCTGGCCACCTCCAGCCCCTCAGTCACCAGGCCGCCACGGTTGTCGCGCAGGTCCAGGACCAGTCGGGTGGCGCCTGCGGACTCCAACTGCCGTACGGCAGCAGCCACATCAGCCTGGGCAACCGGGACACGTCAGGGTGGTTAGTGGAGGCAGAAATTGCTGTGTTGTTTGTGCAACACACCTTTATACAAATAAAGTGTGTCTCGGTTGCAGACTTGCTCATCCGACAGACAATGTAAAAACGGCAGCACGCAACCCAAAAAACGTAACAACAGAGATACATACACAGCTTGAGGACGACCCACGCACGGGTCATACCCCTCGCTCCCCACCACCCACCACCCTGACGTCCCCACCATCGGTCGCGTGAGCTGCTTCCCATCAACCCCAACCCGCAGAGGCCCTAACCCCCCTCCCAGGCCCTTACCCACCCTCCCCCCCCCCGGCTGCCCCTTCACCTGCGCCCTCGCGTTGAAGCTGGTCAGCCTCACGGTGCCCACCAGCTCCTCCCCCCGCGCACCCCCCGGAAGCATCACTATGCTGCGGGTGAGGGACGAGGATACGGCGGAGGGCAGTGTACGGCGAGGACTAACCAGGGACAGCTCCTCCTCCTGGCCTGAGCTGTGACGGACCTGAACGGGGTTTGGGGGTTTCAAAGGGGGGGGG